AGTGTGTTTAGCAGCCAGACAAATTATTAGCGCTACTATTCATTGTAATGACGGCACACGGAGGCCCTGTCATTCAAGGCGAGGCAATTTGCTATGCAGGGTTGTGTCTCTTAGTCACATTAGACTTTACCAATATTATTCAGAAATGTTTATGATTAAAATAAACATGGGGAATCAAATAATCTGTACATAAACACACAATTATACTGCTGAATACAATGAATTTAACCCACTATTTTACTAAAATGAATACATAAAAATACACAGTATGATCAGTATGCTAATACACTACCATAAAAAAACATACATTGCCTTAAAAGTACATATATTTGAAGATTAACTTTTAAGACAGATGTACATTCCGCTATTTTAGATTTTTACCAATGAAACGTCTCCTGAGTACTGTAGTTTTTATGGCTTGAAGCCAGTATCAGTGTATACATTTGGTATACATGTATTTGATCATTTTGAGCATGATAACCCTGGTGATATTAGAATAGATCTGATACATGTTAATAATCATATAATTTGATATCAGCAATTATTCAGCAGTTAACAAGTTTGATTAAATGCTGCAATGGAGTCTTTTTGCGTTACTTTATTATACTTTAGGGCCGTGCATACAAACATAGTTCAACACATAATCAGTGATTTTACATTGGATTTTGGAGAATGACAGTGCTCTGAATTTGTTAGCCAGTTCACTATTGATATTTTTTTAAAATTGAAATTGTATGGTTTGTATCTAAACATTGTGTCTTTTTATAGAAATCTGGGTATTGTGTTAACACCTATCCTTATTTGGACTAAATCACTTACTACTCTTGGTGTAGAGATTGAAAAGGCTATTATGACATTGTAGAGATATTAAAAGAAAGTTGGAAATATACCATGTCCAGATTTACTTAAGATATTTAGAGCTCCTTGTCTCTAGGCAGGAGACCTATTGTAATCGTTCGGATTATTAGGGCTCTTTGCTGCAAAGCAGGAGACCTATTGTAATGGTTAATGTTTTTATTATTATTATTATTATTAATTCCGCCGTATTTTGTACTAGCCCTACAAAAAGCACCAGTTGACAGAATCGTTTGAGAAAGGTCACCTAGATGCCCATCGAGGTGTAGATATTCCCCATTAAAATCTCAATGCTCTAGGCCCAATAGCAAAGGGCAGATAATTCAAAATAATTTTTAAAATTCAATTTCAAAAGCAAGTATGTGCAAAACTACTGATCTAATAAGTGCCAAAGTTCTTGAGCAGATGCGCAATCAAAATACCTATAATTTTGCCTGGACGGGTCAAGTCGCTAAAATGTACCGTTTGGCAGGTTATTTTTGTTTAACTAAAGTCCAGTAACGATTGTGCAAATTCTGCACAAAAAGTGCCAGGACGATAGACGAAGTCTTGGTGATTCCAGAACACTAATTGTTTTGACCGTAGACTGAAGAACAACCCCGGCTGCATTTCAACGATTCGCTCCCGTGTCAAAAACGTGTTCTGGTTGCGTTTGGGGCGATTTCTAGCCCTCAAATACAATTCAAACACCCGTAACTCTGAAACCAACCGTCCTATTTCGACCACAATATACCCGTACAAGTGGGCTATTAGCGTGGATTATAATTAACGATTGCAGTAATGTATCCTCAAAGACAACAGAGGGACAAGTGAAATTATATTTTCCACATTTTAGTTGCTATCTTCATCGGATCTCTAGAGAACACAATGAAAGTTAGCCGTATGTATCTCACACGTTAGCTGATCAGTTTCTGTTCTTCGGTGCATGTGAAAAGTATCACCGTTTGGTACATATCTTCTTCATGATTGTTAGAAGTAATTAAGATAGATGTTTGAACAAAGGGTTCTTCTGTTTTGAGATTCATGATACCCAAGTGATATTTTCTAATCTAAGACAAAAGGTTTTGTGATGAGTTTATCGAAACTTAAAGACCTTCCAGTACTTCCAGTCGAAGAGCATTCGACTAGCAGTGATATGATTCATATTAACTAACACTATTACTACTTTCATCAGTTATGTGACAGACACAATAGGCTAGATAGAACCAAAGCCAAGGAGCCTACATCGTTGCTTGCAACTATTTGATGCTATGATTGTTCCTATGGTGTGTTATGGTGCAGAGGTATATGGTACCTCATTATTATTGAACTATTGAAGATGTTCAGTATAAAATGTATAAATGGTTTCTCAAAACAATGGTATGGTTTGGGAAGAATGTGACACAGCCCCTCTTCAACTTGTCAACACCACAAGGGCTATTAGGTATTGGTGCAGGCTACTGCATTTGGATGAATGCAGACTGCCAAGGCTACCTAATGGATGACTCTGCCTGTACCACATGGGCTACTCATATTAAAAATATTCTGTTTAAACTTGGATTTGAATATGTGTGGTTAACACAATATGTGGGAAAAGTGAAGATATATATTCTCCTTCTTAAACCATGATTATTTAACAACCTACAACTATCATAGTGTTGTTCTATCAACAGTTTATCTGATTCCTTCTAGGGTTATGCTAATGTTAGGGTCAGTGTTCAAATATCAAAAGCGGGTACACAAATTGAATACAATGAGCAGAAAGGTAAAAGAATAACCTACAAGCTCAAAACAATGTTTTGTGAAAAACGTAAGTTTTGATTGAACCGCACGTTAAAATAGTCGGTCTGTCCGGTTTTCGATAAGGTTTTAAGCATCTCGAGTGTCACCCTTTGAGGATTTTATGTAATGAGTGTAGCTTTAGAATTTTCTTAAAAATTCATTTCTTCACCGATCTCGTTCAATTTTGAAATATAGGTTAATCATAACATAAAAAAAAACAATATACGATTGCAAAAGTCTGTCCAAACAATGATTCGAACTCCTGTTGTTATAAAGCATACTATACTCAATATTTTAACAAAACGCGACACGCGAAAATGCGACAACGCGACATTTCATCAAAATGTCGCGTTGTCGCATTGTCGCATGTCGCGTTTTTAGTAAATACATTATAATACATACTATACTCAATATTGTAACAAAAGGCGACGCGACAATGCGACATTTCATCAAAATGTCGCATTGTCGCGTGTCGCGTTTTAGTAAATACATTATAATACATACTATACTCAATATTAAACAAAACGCGACAATGCGACAACGCGACATTTCATCAAAATGTCGCGTTGTCGCATTGTCGCGTTTTATAAATACATTATAATACATACTATACTCAATATTGTAAATACGCGACAATGCGACAACGCGACATTTCATCAAAATGTCGCTTTGTCGCATTGTCGCGTCGCGTTTTAATAAATACGTTATAATACATACTGTTCTCAATGCTTTAACAAAACGCGACGCGCGACAATGCGACAAAGCGACATTTCATCAAAACGTCGCGTTGTCGCATTGTCGCGTGTCGCGTTTTATTAGTTACGGCGGATTTTATAAACTATCACAAGCATGATTACTTTTCGATGTTTGGAGCGGAGTGGAGAGGAGTGGAGTGGAGCGGAGTGAGTGAGTGGAGCGGGGAGGGGAACGGAGTGATTGAGTAAGTGAGTGAATGAGTGAGTGGAGCGGGGAGCGGAGTGGAATGAGTGAGTGGAGCGAGCGAAGTGAAGGGGAGTGAGTGAGTGGAGCGGGGAGCGGAGAGGAGTGAGTGAGTGGATGGAGCGGTGTGGAGCGGAATGAGTGAGTGAGTGAGTGGAGCGGAGAGGAATGAGTGAGTGGAGTGGAGCGATGTGGTGTGGAGTAGAGTGGAGCGGAGATGAGTGGAGAGGAGTAGAGTCGAGTGGGGTGGAGTGAGTGAGTGGGTGGAGCGGGGTGGGAGGGAGGGAGGGACAGAGGGAGGGAGCGAGCGAGCGAGGGTTGATTTCTGGCACTCCAAGGGTACGCAACTCTGCCAAGCGATTTGACCGCTTTTAAATTCATAATCATAACATTCCGTTTGTATGGCGCTTTCCCAAGAAGAATATCACGATCAAAGTCGACCAAAACTGTATTTGAGGTGCTGGATAGTAAAGTGATATTACCATCTTATTCTACCTGGTATCCATCCACTGCTGGCTGAACAAGTTCATCAGCGTCGGACAGGACTGTACCAAGAATCTCTCTGAGGAGCCACACTGTGGAACATAGTGACCCATTCGTGGACATCACTTGATGTTTCTGCCGATGTGGCCCGAATTTTAACAATATTTGAGTTTTTTCACAACCTGTGAGCTTGATATGGGTGAAATGTCCCAAAGTGATGAGTGTGTATGGTGCTTGGATTAGAACCTATGATCATAGTTTCCTGGTGCGACTAAGAGACACAACTCTGCACAGCAAATTGCCTCGCCTTGAATGACAGGCCCACCGTGTGCCGTCATTACAATGAATAGTAGCGCTAATAATTTGTCTTGCTGCTAAAACACACTTGATTGGCAAAATACATTTACAATATATACAATAATTTTCAAAGCAACAATGAAAGATTTGCATTAAGTTCAAGAAAAGCAGCCCCTATTATCATTACGCGTACTACTTCATTGTAAAAACCATTGGAGGTAACAAAAGACCACTGAAGTGTGAAATAGAGTATAACATTTCCTGCGCATGCGTAGACTCATTGACTTTTTACGCTTGCGCACCGGTAATCGAAAAAGGCGACAATGCGACATATGAATTTGTCGCATTGTTGCGTGTCGCGTTTTAGTGAATTTTTAGGCTTCTTTTTACACATCTTAGATAGGGCGACGCGCGACAACGCGACATATTTTGACCTTGAAAAGAGTCGCTATGTCGCGTGTCGCGCTTTGGAGGAATAGAAAAATATTATTCAAAACGCGACACACGACATTGCGACAATGCGACAAATGGGCGAATGTCGCGTGTCGCGTTTTGGTTTATTTTGCCTCACTTTACTTTGAGAGGGCGACAATGCGACATAGCGACAATGTCCCTTCTCGGATTCCATAGATACATATATGGTATTTAAAACAACACACCCGTTTCCTTCTCTGTTTCACTGGTTTATTCATGTACACAAATACAGGCTACTCATAGTGGTCACAACTGGTGTTTTAACAGACACCATTCAACAGGATTGTCTATTATTATAGTCTCTGGTTTTAGAAGATAATAGTATCATGGAAAATTGATAATATAGACTGAACAGTGCAAAATAAAGGGTAATACAAACAATACACGTGGTACGTTTTCTGTCTCACAGGTAAATTCAAGTAAAACATTTCATAACACTGGGCTCCCCGTGAGGTTCGCTCTGACATATGATCCACTAAGGGACGTAACTCCTGTTATAGTAACTTATGTCCACCGCTAACACTTTGTTATACAATGATAACCCTGTAACACATGCATGTTCATATTCAGTAACTGTCGATAAAATAACCAATGACAAAAACTAAAAAAACAATTAAAAATATATCAAAAAGAAAATCAAACGTCCAGTTGATTCGACAAACACTTTTTTTATCAATGCACCATCTTGATTGCGAAAGCGATGACTGTAGAAATGAGGAGGAGGCTGGGCGTTATTGGTCCGGCACCGCAAGTTACCGTACAGCTGAAAGCGGAGTACATATCACCACAGGAGATTTTGTAGCTGCCGCCGTATTTGGTGCACAGATCCCTGTCTGAAATGAAAGTGACGATAAATTACTTTTTCAAAGAAATGAATCCGAGCTCGGAACCAATATTGTATTTAGTTCCTCTAGGAATATTCATATTTACTTTTCCATATTTTCATTACTGTACTTTGTCAATATCTCTGTTTGGTGCCACGCATATTTCGGAGAAACCGCAATATCAGCAGCTCATGTTGGAAGAGGGAGGTGAGACTATATCCATTGATGTTTGCGGAAAAGGACGTAAGTCACCGTGCGAATTACAGTCGGTTGATTTACCATCATTTCCAATAATGTTATTCTCAAACGTTTGAGCCTGTTTTGAACATCCGTTAACAACGCATGGAATATTGTGGGGTTTTTTTATATTTTCAGAGAGGGTTACGGGTACTGGGTGGGACATTTTGACAGTGGTTGAAAAAAGGTGAGAGTAGTATGCTTATCCTCGTGTGTTGGTGTATAATAACAGTTATATAACGATGATCATTTGAATAGTATGCTCACATTTTCCTGTCAAACATTTTGCTCGACCTCGGTGGGCCTACTGTTATATTTATCAAGATGTCTTAGTGTCATAATACACAATAAACATCTAAAATCACACATATTTTTTCCCCCGCATGTATATGTTTTATGATAATAGCAAGATGGCACGCACTTGTATATAATAGAAAATGTACATTTACTTTTTCTTAGAAAACTTTTACCTTTAAATATATCCTTTTTTCTGTAAAATTTATGTGAAAATCTAGATGTAAGTCCTCTGTGTAAAAGAAAGTGTTATGTACTACTATTTATGATTTGTAGCCTATATGCCTTATACTCAGACTACCAGCCCTGTCACCAAAATGTATACATTTGGCAGTAATAATTGTGATCTTCATATGCTGTTGTCTTACGGCCCGAAAAGCAATAAAAGTTCTGTTCTGTTCTGTGGGTGGGTAGGTGGGTGGGAGTTGTGGGTGGGTGTAGTAGATACGTACATATTAGCATTTAGCATTCATGCGGTGTGTGTGCGTGTTGAGATAAAATGTGTGAGTGGGCTGAAGAGTTTAGTATAATGTGCGAGTGAGGGCTTGGGTTGTATATAGTGGTTGTAAGAAGTGTGAATATGTTCTGTATGTGAGAGGAATGTGTTGTTTGTTTTAGTTTTATTTGTTTTAAGTATAAATCAAAGAAGGTCTCCCATAACCCATGTGGGTGGCTAATACAACAAAAAAGTTATTTATTTTATGTATTTAAATTATGTGTAATAAATAAGCGCCCTCAACTCAGCACGTCCAAATTCAGCCTCACGCTGACAAACCTACAGGTAACTCAGAAACCACAGTGAAATCTCAGTGTCGATCTAATCTAATTTATCAGAAGAAATATACAGGTGACATGAAAGCCAAATTAAACAAAGCATCTACTCACGGAAAGAACTGCAAGCTGCAGATTCAGGTCCCGAAGGAGAATATGGATCATCACATGAGGCATCGGGAGTCCCACCCTTACAAGAAATACAGCCACTGTGCGCTGAAACGGGAATCATGAATATTATTACTCGAATTGTTGAAATGTAAAACTTATCTATGGAACTTGTAAGCTTCAGTTCAATGTTAAACTCAACATTGTTAACATATTTTCATACGACGCAAACATACATTTAATTTTTATGTATATATTCAATATTCTATAACTATTGTTCTCATAAAACACTTGCAACGAAGCATTCCGTCCTACCATACCTGAGTGAATCAATCCAACAACACAGAACAGAATTAAAAGCGACTTCATGATGGGACCGTCGAGTAACCTGTGCTCTTTGTGAGTGTGGGTGTGCTGGACTTCAGTTATAGGCCTTTATACTTTATTGTATGGCGAGGCTGATAACGTAAACCTTTCGCAATAGCTTCAGTGTCACCAAATACCATATCGAGCGCATGATATTTTATCCGGTAACTTACGCTGGAAGTTGTGAAATGAGTGCGATAACCTATAAACACTATAGATAGCAATTGTGCTTTGAACCTCTGAACATGTAAACTCACTGGACAACGGTCTTTTCTGCTTGGAAAGCGATTGGTCGCCTCCATTGGCGTGGTGTGAGTGTGTGTTTTTATATGTTTTTATACTACTGACTGGTAAGGTCACCTCTTATGTATCCTTATAAAGCGCGTGGTCGTTTTTGAAACTGATCTACAAGTTGTGTAGGGATAGATAGATAGATAGATAGATAGATAGATAGATAGATAGATAGATAGATAGATAGATAGATAGATAGATAGATAGATAGATAGATAGATAGTCTTTATTTCCTCCACAATTGAACATTACAAGGGTGCAATTTAAATGGTTATGATAAGTTTAATGTACAGGTGATAGACAAGATATTACACAAATAAATGTTTGCATTTATAAATAAAATCAGCAGCCAGGAACAGAATATGAAGCGACTTCATGATGGGACCGTCCAGTAACCTGTGTGTTTGTGTGTGGGTGTGCTGGACTTTATGTATAGGCCTTACTTTCTTGTATTGGCGAGGCTGATAACGGCAAAACTTTCGCAATAGCTTCAGTGTCACCAAATACCATATCGAGCGCATGATATGTTATCCGGTAACTTACGCTGGAAGTTGTGATATGAGAGCAATAACCTATAAACACTATAGAGAGCAATTGTCGTTTGAACCTCTGAACATGTAAACTCACTGGACAACGGTCTTTTCTGTTTGAAAGGGATTGGTCGCCTCCATTGGCGTGGTGTGAGAGTGTGTTTTGGTTATGAGATACAAATATGACCTCATGTCAAACAGCTTGTCATAACCTTCTTTCCCAAGTTGTTTATAATGTGTATATTTACTTTGTTTAGATAGAAAAAAAGCAGAGCAATCATTATTCATGTTACTGTTCAAACGTAAAAGCTTAAATCAACAATAACCAGCAAATATGTATGCTTTTTCTGCTCATACGCAAAGGTTTTGAACAGTCAAGAATCGATCACAGTATGAGATGCATCAATATCCTACATTTTTAATACCACCACAGCTACTGCTACTGCTACTACCACTACCGCTTGCTTGTTGGGGCGTTGGGGTGGCCTAATGTGTGCACTGTCAGATTAAGGAGACAAGTATGAGTGAGTAGGTATTTACGCCGCTTTTAGCAATATTCCAACAATATCACATTATAAAACCACTGAGACACTTGAAAACAAAAGGTTGAGTTTGTATTGGATTCTGTGTGATATGGGAAGACAGTGTAATCTCTGCAGAACAGCAGTTATGTGAGAGTATTTCTGTGATCTGGAGACAAGTCTAGCAGCAAAATTCTGTACGCTTTGGAGCTTTCCTATAGAGGATTGAGGCAGGCCATAGAATAGACAATTGCGGTAGTCAATCCGAGATTAAATATACGCATGGATCAATGAACAGGGTTGTCCTCACATCAAAGATGATGATAGAGAAAAGAGGTAAGACGGTAGTGTTTACATTAACGAGCGGAGTATGTAGTAGTAGCCTGTCATACAGGCCCTGGAACAAATATACCCGACGCAGCCCATGCAAGTCTAGAATGTGGCAAGTCTAGATTACCGCAGTTAAAAGTCTCTGGCTCCTTTTATTGTATTTTAAATTTAATAACTATTATTTTCTGTAAAATACGTTCGTTTCAGAGTAGGGCTGGTAGTCTAAAATGTACAGACGTTACAATTCATGAAAGCAGTCGTGTAAAAACACCAATCTTTCAATTTATTTATCTACTCAGATCGGTATCTGATTCTGACTGATGACTGCCGGGACATTCACGGATGCACCCGTCACTTACAAGATTGTCAGCATGGGATCTCAGAAAAGGAAGAGAATACCGTCGTCAAACACAGCTGGATACGCCTTTGTATTTAAGCAGAGGCAAATTGTCGCAAATAGGGTTGCGCAACAAAGAGAAAATGACCAGTTTTCCCATATGTCAGCGAAGCGAGCAAAGGTTGGCAACGTGCTTCCCTCGCTTCGGTTCGAAAAATATTTTCATATCAAAATAATATATCGACATCATCAAAGGTAGACACCTATTTCCTCACAGAGTTGTGCTCTCAAATTTCCAACCTCATATTTAATAATTTCTTACTCACGTACAGTATATTTAATTCAACATTTTAAGCGCAACTGTTGGCATGTCAAATCGTTCTTCGCCTCCATTACCCCTGCCAGCTTCCGGTTCAACAGAGTGAAGGAACAAGAATAAGCAGAAATTAAACACAAATATCATATTGCATAATTTTACCGTTAAACTGTTGGGGATTATTTTCTTTATCTGCCGTCGTTATTGTTCGAATTTTCGTAACATTTATTCTACAAAATACACTTCTGGCGTAGCGGATAAATGAAAGGGCATTTACTTTTAACGCCCCCTGTTGCTTCAATCCGTTGAACTTGTTGTTTTATTTTGTGTGTATATATTACCTGTTTCACAACAAGGCATGTTGCATTTAAAGAATTATTATTTTCCCCTAGGAAAATGTTTGTAGGTATAATATTATATAATATCTTCATCTGTATCAATTTCAAATTACTACATTTTATACATCGATTCGTTATATATACGTTTCGGGTAACATTGTGTTATCGTACTTGTGTTTCAAAGACTCTTTCCCACTTTTATTGGCACATGATTTATTGTAATTGGGGTCTAGTAAAGAAAGATAAAAGTTTTGGAGCCCGTAACACTTTAGACTAAGTTTGGACATATTAAATGGTAATACTGGAGAAAATGGCAGGTTTTGGGGACGAAATGATTTGTCTTCTCTTTAAGCAGGCAATTATCCATGATATTTATGTGCATAGATTTGAAGCTATGATATCTTAAGATATTTGTTTTGACTTGATATATTAATTGTATTTCTTCATAAGTATAGAATTCGACTGTAGTAGGATTCATTAAATCATAATTAAAGTGTATACCTGCACTGTACCATTGGTTTATAAAATTGTCTCGTTACCTATGTTAAAATTATAATTAAACTAAATACACTGGTTTAACATGTCATTTGAGTTTAATGTCTTATATTGCTTTTGTAAATATGATCCCCATATCACCCATTACATCTCTCCAAAAGGATGTCTTATGTAAGGTTTAATGTGTTTTTCCATATATTCAGGATCAGCTAACCAAAGTCTTCTGTAGTTAGGTATACAATTTTCAACGAATGCTTTCCATTTTACTGCTGGAATATAATCTCTTTATCCATGCTATTTATATGCATAGATGATATTCTTAATGAGTGGGACACTAATTCCTCCATATTCAGGTGGCATAGCAAACATATCTCTTTTAATTTTATCATGTTTGTCTTTCCATCTGAACCAGGCTTGTTGATAATTATTTATTATTTCATCGGGGGTGATGGAATTGAAGAAAAAGATGGTTTAATTTTGAAAGTTATAGTGATGTCAAAAACATTTCTACCGATTGGAGTAAGTGTTCTTATTGACCATAACTTCATACTCTATATTTATGAATCTATTATCGTAATTCAATTTCACCAAGGTCAATATGAAATATAATACCCAGTAGCTTAAAGTTACTTTGAGACTAATCTAAATTCCAGTCTTTGCAGAGTTTATATTTATCTACTCAGATCGGTATCTGATCTGACCGTTGACTACCTGGACACATTCACGGATGCACCTGTCACTTACGAGATTGTCAGCATGGGATCTCAGAAAGGGAAGAGAATACCCGTCAACACAGCTGGATATGCCTTTGTATTTAAGGTATATAAAATTAAAAATAATTTTTTAGAGCCTATCCAAATCAGTCTTGTCTTGTCAGCATTAATTTTGAGCCAGAACACCTTTGCCAGAACAAAAAACATAAAATATTCAGCAAATCATATAGACTACTCTCAGTGCCATCTAATGGTAGGGAAGTATCGTCAGCAAATTGTGCAAGAACATATTCAATATTTCCTTTTTAATGCCTTTTTATATTTTTAGTATTTCTGATAAGTATAGCCAAAATTTCTGCACATAAGATTAAAATATATATGGTGATACAAGATCTCCTTGACTACAACCTCTGGCTATAGGAAAAAAAGGTGCTAGCAAATCCACTTCCAAGTACACTTGATTTCATATCTGTAAAAAAAGTTCTTATCCACTTCTTGGAAACTAGGTCCGAAAAAATAATAATGATGTAATGTGGAAAATAATGATGTAATATATTGAATATGGATGTATTGTTTGTTTGAATGTATAGTATATCTTTTGCTTTCTTTCAGTGTACCAAGAAAACATATACTTATTGGCGATGCAGTGTTAGAAATAAAACCAACAAAAACAACAACCCCAAAACAGTAAGAAAACGGGTAAAAAATGGCAATAATATATCATCTTATGTAATGCTTACATGGCCAAACACTGAGCTGTTTTCTAGGCTCAGATGCCGTTTTCGCTGGGGTCCGTTTTCACTGTAACCCCACTGAAGCTATTGCGCAAGTTTCAGCAGCCATACAAAGAGCATGAGAGACCATATAATAAATTATTTTATGGTCCCATCATGTATTTGCTTCTTATTCTGTTCTGTGTTGTTGGATTGATCCACACAGGTATGAGTAGGGCGAATGCTTCGTTACACTGTTGTATAGGACCATAATTATAGAATATCAAATAAATACTTAAATATTATATGTATGTGAGTGTCGTATGAAAATATTCCGATCTCAGTCAAACAAGGTCATTGTTATGGAATGTTAAATAAATATTAAATGCATGTGAATGTCGTATGATAATATTCCCGTCTTGGTCACACGTGTGTACGCACACAAGTCATATCTGCTGAGTGGTATGTACACCGCAGCCACTACAGATAACATCTGTCTGTCTGGATGTGGGTCGGGCAGTATGTGA